CGTCGCAGAAACTAATGGCGACGGTACATACCGTCGCCAAAGGTCTTTTGCAACCCCGTCTGTCGCGACCCCCCCTTACCGTCGCAAAAAGCCAAATTACCGTCGCAAAATACATTAGCGACGGGCTTCTGGGCATTTGCGACGGCCGTGTACCGTCGCAAAAAACAAGTTTTTTTGTAGTGGCAATTGCATTTAGATTAGGCCTTCTTTTTTTTCTTTTTTTCTTTTTTTTTTCCTTTTGAGAAATTACAACAACAACAACAAAAAATTCTTTTTTAACAAATAAATTTTGAGTTTTAAATTTTATCAATTTAAATCTTAATAGGGAAAATTATGTAAATAGGCCATGTTGTTTACATGATGTGTCAATTTGGTCCATGTAGTTTCAACTTGATCGATTTTTCCCCCTTAATTTAACGGATTGTGTCATTTTAGTCCAATAAATAACGGTTGTTAAGTTAATTTAACAGAAAGTCTATCAATGTGTCAATTTGGTCCCTATATTTTTCACAATGTGTCAATTTAGTCCCTGTCAAAATCGAGAAAATTGAAACTACAATGACTAAATTGACACATTGTGTAAAGTATAGGGACCAAATTGACACATTGTTTGACCTTCCGTTAAATTAACTTAACAACCATTATTTATTGAACCAAAATGACACAATCCGTTAAATTAAGGGACAAAATCGAGCAAATTGAAACTACAGAGACCAAATTGACACATCGTGTAAACTACAGGGACTATTTTCATAATTTACCCATCTAAATATTTCATCCATCTTTTTTCTTTTCTTTTTCAAATTCTATTTAAATTCATGATCCAAATACAATTTTATGTTTCTTGTCAATTAGATTCAATGGAAGACTTTGTTAACAAAGCATGTGTGCCTGACATGCGCTAATTGAACATCAAATTTCTCCAAAGTTGTATTTCGGTCTCTACATAGTTGAGGTTATCTTCTATGGCATGGCATACACAAAATAAATAAATTAATTAATTTCAAAAAAATATTGCATATATTATACATAATGTGACTAGATTCTCTCTCATTTCTCCTTTTTCTCCTTGTTTAAATCTCTCCCTACCCTACAATAAGAGTTCAAATATAATTCAATGCTACAATACACTATAAGCAAGTCTCATGCAATGTGAGACACAAGATATGTCTCTTTAGTGACAAATACCTAACTTCTCAAATGATTATTTTCTGTGAAACACAGGATATATCTTGTTTCTTTAGTTCTAAATTAAAAAGAGTGATGGCTACCTCGCCGTATGGGACAAGAATCCCGTGAGAGACCCAACATATCTTTTTAGCACACTAAAGTGTTTGTAAGACATGGATTCCATGTAAGACATAAGATATGTTTTTTTTAATATCAAATATCTTGTCAAATGATTAACTCTTACCACATAAATAGAATAGGAATCCCATATAATACACAAGAAGTCTCTTTATTAGAAGGAGCCTTGATAAATTATTAATTTTTAGTGATAATAAAAAGTAAAAGGAAAGATGGAAAATGAAAAATGAAAAGACCCTCTTGTTAACATAATTAGAGTTAAAATAACTCATCACTACGTTATAAAATGAGAGTAAATCCCATGTGAGGCACAAAATATATCAATTTTGTACTTGATGACTTGCCAAATAATTAATTGTTAGCACACGATACAGGATATGATTCCCATTGTAAGGCACAAGATATCTCTCTTGGATCAAATGCCTTGTTTAACAATTAACTCTTAATGAGCAAAAGTAGTAAAAGAAAAATCAAACGGAAAATATGGGATCTCCTAATCACACTAGAATTGGAGTAAGTCCTCACCATTACACATATATAGTACTGAACAAAGATCTCACGTGAAATATAAAATGTCTTACCAAATGATTGCCCTTTACTGCACATGTGAGACATGAATTCAGTTGTGACACACAAGATATGTCTCTTTAGTAACCACGTACCTTCCTAAATGATTAACTCTTAGTGATCATAAGAAGTAGAAGAAAAATAAAAAAGCAAAAAAGGATCCCTTCCTACAACACAGTCAGAATTAGAATAACTCATTGCTACCATATAATATGATACAGAAATCACTTTTGAGAAATAAGATAAGTTAACTCTTAATAATCATAACAAATACAATAAAAAAGAAAGAGATGGGAACCAAGTATGCAACATTTCTCTTTATACTAGATGTTTCACTTGTTCACATAGCTCTCTTACATTTTTGTTATAAGCTACTCATTGCTATTACACAATATTATGGGATAGGAATCCTTCTTGAGTGAGACATGAGTTATATCTCTTTAGTATTAGATACTTCATCAAATTATTAACTCTTGGTGATCAAAACAAATTACAAACCAAGTATATGAAAAAGAACAGTATGCAACATTTCTTCATTTGTCCTCTTCTCTCTCTAACTCAACCTTCTTTCAAGTACTCGGTAATTTAAAAATTTTAAAAATAAAATGTAAAAAACACCTCTTTAAACTACTGCATGCTCATTTTATTTGTATCACACACAACCACAAATTGGAATATATTGACATGGAAATTCATTTATCTGGTGATAATATTGCACAACACAAATTGGTAAAATTTTTAGACCAAGTTCATTAATCAAAAGTGTAAGTCAAATAAAATTTGGAAATAGAATTTTTATGAATTACATTTGAACTGAGTGTTTTTTTTTTCTTTTAAAAAAAATTATGGGATACATTTGAACCAAGTTAAATGTTTTGCTATTCATATTTGTATTTACGAACACAACATTTCATCTATATTTTATATAGTCAATAGAAAACTAGTGGAAAGAGACAAAAATGAAAATCATACTTTTCATTAAAAGTATTGATACCAATTTCAAAATATATATGTCTTACTATATAGTAATCATTTTATAATATTTGACTTAAAATTTTAATATAAGGCATGTGGTTTATAGTTGTAGTACAGTCGCATGCATTTATATGCAATTTATAGAAATTAAAAGCCACAATACTCAAACAAAGTCATAGTAGAAAAATATAACATGCATTAGAAGTATAATATAATATTTTTTTCATAGAAGGTTCATCGTCAATAAATTATATATTATTAGTGGTCAAAAACTTTAAAAGGAAGACAAAGGAAAAATTAAAAAAGGCCAAAAGGCAAAAAGATAAAAGAAGTGATGTTTTAATGTACAAAAAATGAGAAACCTCTCTAAGAAATTCTAACCGTTCTCTCTTTCTTTGCTCTTTAGAGGAAGAGGGTGGTACTTTTAACCTTCCTCCCCCCCCTGGTTTCTTTTCCTGTGGTTTCTATTACCATACTAATCACTTGTTACCAAGAAAACTTTCAAGTTTAATCTCAAATCTAATTTATGACCAAGATTCGATGTCATAAAATGCGTTGTTATACGCTAGGCAACCACCTCAAATTTGTAATGTTTTATTTTGTATTGTAGAGGCAGGGCTTAAGGTACCAAAATTACCAGTTGCAATAATGAATAGATCGTGAAGGTGATGTGTATTGTTTGTTTGATGGTGATCATTTTTATAGCGATCCCGGGTTTACCCTTGTTATACCGTGATCCGGACATGTGTCCGTGGATGTTGGTAATTGTTTATTATTTTGTTTACATCCTTTTACTTCGTACATAATGTTTTTGTAATGCCCCAAAATTTTGTAACACAATTTAGGTACATCAACCAACATTCATAAAAAGGATAATAGCAATTCTCCAACCTTTACATCATTGATCATTAAAATTTGTACAAAATAGTCCCACATGCGAATTACACATTCAATGATATCAAATACATGAATCTATAGCATGTAGAACGTCAAGTCCGAAAATGAATAAAATGCCCTCAAGGGCTTACACATTCCGAGGCTTAATCTTGGTTTCACAAAAGATGGTTTCTTGAACCCATACATAAATAGCCATTGGCTTACAAAAATACAACCACAACAAAATAGAGCCTTGTGCTCTTGATACATACATCCACGCCCTAGTTTGGCGGGTTCACTACGTCTTTTCCTGCACCAAAATCCTATAGGGGTGAGCATAAAGCCCAGTAGAGAATTCTTAACAAAGTATATACATTTTATACAAGCTTCCCAAAATAAAATGCACATGCCATGCTATGCCTTTGAAAGAAGGTCATATTTACATCTTTTGAAAACCATCAATTTTTTATTTTTTTTTTGGGTAAATAAATCATAAAATAAAACAAGCGAATATACAAATTTACAAGGGAATACCCCAGGCCTTACCACCCTATACAAAGAAGAGGAAACAACTAACCAAAAACCCAGCTAGATTGTGAGCAAACAAAAGCCCTAGAAGCAGCAACAATCAACCCATTAACCAAGCACCACCAAACATAACCACTTGGAGGCTAAAGACACAAACCCAATATACAAAAGCAATGCCATGACCCAACAATAATGAAGGATAACATCAGACTGCCTAAACATTCCAGAACATATTTCAAAGACCTCCCTAGAAGGGCAAACAAAACCATTACAACAAAAACCAACCACAAAACAAAAAACCCAATTACATCCCAATTAGGTAGGAGACAAGAGAACCAAATGAAACAGAAATAAAATAAAATTCCAGCGAACAACTGGGAGACCCGTAACAAGAGGGAACAGAGCACTGTAAGACCAGCAACACATAATTATCTTGAACAGATCACCCACAAAGCAATGGCCACCAAGAACCAGCACTCAACAAATGGAGCCTGGAAACACAAGGAGACAACATAAGCTAAAATAATACAGTTCAGAACATCACATGCACACAAACTCTCAAGGCTGCAGCTATTACTCTCAAATATGTACCTCACCATACAAAAAAATATGTAACTCACTACACTCAACCCTCAGGGAAAAGACCCCAAACACTCAACCCTCAGCTCACCACACTCACACAAGCCTATTTTTGAACTCACAGCACTTAACACACATCCAACAGATCCGCCAGCAACCTACAGAAACTATACCTGCACAGAAAACATTAGAAAACCATATTGGAGCTCACACCACTCAACCCACAGCCTCACAACACTCACACATAAGCTAATGTAGAACTCACAGCACTCAGCCCACACTCACATCACCACACTCACCACACATAAGCTAATGTAGAACTCATATCACCACACTCACCACACTCACACAACCTATTATAGAACTCACAACACTCAACTCACATACTACAGATCCACCATCAACTTGCAGAAAATTACCTGCACAGAGAATATTAGAAAACATTTTTGGACTCACTCCACTCAACCCACATACTCACAACATTCGCACAATATGCTAATATAGGACTCACAACGCTCAACCCTCCTTCCTAATAAAGGACCAGTTATGTACCTACAGCTGTTAACCATTACCAAATTTAATTACAGAAGTAGGGAGGGCCCATTCCTGCAAGAACCAATTATTAGAACAATCAGCCTTAAAATTAGTGATAGATAGCACTCCGCATCTTGCTAATTCCTGAATCTTCCTGACAATTGCCACCTCGTTTGATTTAGTAGTTCAGAAGATCCTACAATTCCTTTCCTGCAAAATACAGTAAATAAAACAAGTGAAGACCAGTTTACAAATAGTAATAGCCAGAGATGATCCAGAAAGCTGGATAGCTAACCAATTTACAAGATGGTTCCAATGCATGAAAGGCCAGGTCACATTGCATTTGGTTTTTATAGTAGACCAGATTCTGAATGAAAATGGACAATCAAAGAATAAGTGATTATGGTCCTCATCATCCTTCTCACAAAGCACACACCTAGAATTATCCCTAACTCCAAAGATAGCCAACCTATTAAGGGTATTAAGCCTATTATGAATGGCCATCCAGACAATGGTACTAATCCTAGGAATATGATGCTTGAACCAAAGAAGTTTAGACCACTGCACCTTAGGGTGTTGGGTTCTCCACAAATTCCAAGCTGATTGAATAGAGAAGCACCCATCAGAGGATGCCAGCCAAATAGCTTTATCCTCTATATTAGTTAGGTTACCCTGAACATTAGCCTTAATCTCATCTAATTCCCAGGTCTGGCACACAGGCCATCTCCATGTCCTATCATCTATAATGGAAGCAACCTTAGCCTGAGCTAGGGAGCCTGCATCATTAATAACTCTATCCCCAAATCTTTCCTTCAAAGGACCAAGAGGATGCCAATTATCAAACCAAAGAAAAGTGTTCTGCCCATTACCCACTTTATAACCAATATGGTGGATGAGATCATTTCTAAGGCCTAGAATTTTCCTCCAAACCCAAGAGGGGTCGCTAAGAATTTTGACACTCCAGAAGCTCCTATTCTTGAGAAGATAGGACTTGACCCATTGACACCACATGGATTGCTCACCCCCCCGACAAGAGATACCAAACATTTTTGGACACCTCAGCTTTGTTCCAAATCTCAATATCTTTAAACCCAAGACCACCTTCATTTCTAGGAATACAAAGGTGAACCCAAGCTATCTTAGCCCCAGACTTCTTAAGCTCAGGACCAAACCAAAAGAAAGCTCTAAGAAGAGCTTCAACCTCTCTAATAACCTTCTTAGGAAGGATAAGAAGAGAGGACCAATAAACCTGCATAGAGAATAGAATGGACTTAATAAGCTGAGCTCTACCAGCATACAAGAGAACCTTGTTAGTCCACAGACGAATTCTCCTAGTGATTCTACTATTAAGTTGTGAACAATCCACATGGCTCAGCTTAGATGAGATAAGAAGGACACCAAGATATCTAACAGGAAGCTGGCCCTCATTAAACCCCATAATAGAAAGAAGCTCAATTCTCAAGTGACTATCCATCCTAGAAAAAAACATATGACTCTTACTCGGACTAGGAGTAAGCCCTGATAAAGATTGGAACTCAGTAATGGCCTCTTTAATGAGTCTAACAGACTGGTTGTCCCCTCTACAGAATATCATGAGATCATCCGCAAAACACAAATTAACAATTCTATTCTTCTCACACCTCCAGTGAAACTTGAAAGGAGGAGTGGCGGCTTTCTCAGCGAGAAGCCTAGCTAGGACTTCCATCACAATTACAAACAAATAAGGGGATAAAGGATCCCCTTGTCTAAGACCTCTAGCACCTTTAAAATAACCACACAACTTCCCATTCACACATATAGAAAAAGACGGACCAGTGACACAAGCCCGAATCCAATGGATCATCTTATGTGGAAACCCCATTCCCGAAAGAACATCAAAAAGGAAATCCCATTGGACATTGTCATATGCTTTCATTATGTCCACTTTCATAGCACACCTAGGGGCACCACTAGATCTATGATACCCTCTCATAAGCTCTTGGGACAAAAAGATATTATCAGAGATTCTTCTACCTTGCACAAAGGCAGATTGGACAGGATCAATGAGATAGGGGGGACACTTCTAATCCTAATAGCCAAAATCTTAGCAATGCACTTATATATCGTATTACAACAAGAAATGTGCCTATAGTCCCCAACCTTGCCAGGGTTAGGGACTTTAGGGACCAAAGCAATAAGAGTATTATTGGACTCCCTAAGGACCTCACCAAATTGGAAGAAAGATATAATGGCCACAACCACCTCTTTTCCAACCACATCCCAAGAGCTTTTAAAGAAACTAGAAGGAAACCCATCAGGGCCAGGAGCTTTATTACTGTTAAGAGATCTAAATGTAGTCTCAATCTCCAAATTAGTAACCTCAGAAGCTAACCAGGAAGCTTGCTCATGTGATAAGGTGCTAGTAATGAGGCCCTGAATCCTAGACAAACTAGCGTATACATCATTAAAAGGCTTACAAAGAATACCTTCAAAAGTGGAGACAAAAAACAGCTTTAACCTCACCGGGGTCAGTAACAACACTACCATCCTCCAAAGTAACACAATGGATTCTACTCTTATTCCTATTATTGTTGACTGTTCTAAAGAAATACTTGTTATTACTATCCCCCAAACTAAGCCAGGTAATCCTAGATTTCTGTGCAGCCAAAGACTCCTCAACCCTACACAACGAGACAAACTGATAACAAAGGAACCTCGCTTTACCTTGAAGATTAATGTCCAATGGATGTTTATCAAGTTTGAGTTAAATAGCATCTTACTCATCCTTGGCACAATTGACCCTCAAAGATATGTCACTAAAGTGCTTCCTATTAATAGATTTCAGCCCAGGCTTAAGAGCCCGAAGCTTACAGCAGATACGATACATAGGAGACCCTTTAATATACTTACACCATACCTGCTGGAACAGAGGGAGAAAATCCGGATGATCAGCCCAACAGTTAAAGTATTTAAAGGGTTTCGGAGACTTAGAAGCACCATTCAATAAATTGACCACACATGGGGAATGATCAGAAGTCCCAGAAGGGTAGAAGTAGGCAAAAGATCTATGAAAGGTAACCATCCAACACTCATTCACTAGGGCTCTATCAAGCTTAGAGGTAATATAAGTACCCTTACCTTGTTTATTCGCCCAAGTAAACTAGCAACCCCCATAGGAAAGGTCCTCCAATTCTGAGTGAACAATGCAATCATTGAATTCACTTTTACACGCAGACCAGCTAGGATCCCCCCTCCCATCTTTTCAGTAGGAGATCTAATTGCATTAAAATCCCCCATGAAACGGCACGGATTATTTTTCTATGACTGGGCAAGAGAAACAATTTTATCCAACAAAGAACGCCTAAGCCCATAAGAGTTCTGGGCATAAACAAAATAGGCACAAAAATTTTGATCCCCCTCAAAAACATGAATTTTACAAAAAATGTGTTGGTCAGAACTATCAAGGACATCAATTTGACAAACCACAGGATTCCAACAAACCCAAACTCTTCCATGAGTAACAAAATCATAATTAGTGTGGGAAGACCAATTATACAAAACATGGTTCATAACACCACTATGATTGGCAATCAGAACTTTGGTTTCTAATAAGCAAGCAACATGGATATCCTCTTTAGTCAAAATTTTCGCAACCTCTTTTCGGTTAACAGGGTCATCTAGACCCCTAACATTCCAAGCACAGATATTTAACATCATCAGAAAATAAATCTAACCAACACATCACAAAAAGGGATCAAAAGATCCAGAATTACCTCGGTTTCTTCCTATGCCCACTGGAGGAGCCAGAGGACTTAGGAGCAGGGGTTGTCTTACCCTTCTTCTTGGATATTTTAGGTATTTGCAAGACTATATCCTCCACAAAATCTACTTGATGAGGTGCCTTCTCATCTACATTCTCCTATGGACCCGAATAGGTATCCTCTGCTTCTATGGTGGGTACTCCAGGCTCAGATTCCAAAGCTTGTTCCCCCACATTCAGAATTGGGTTTACCTGAGGAGCAGCAGCGTCTATATTCTCAACATTAATAGAAGTAATCTCAGCATTAGGCACAGTGATGGGATTTGCCTGTGGAGTGGGCTTGGAATCAACATTGACAATATTGGGCACCACATCAGACCCTGAATTAAACACCAAGTCTACAGAATTATCTCCGACCTTCCTTTTACCTCGGGCTACATTCAGTTTCCATGTCTCATCCCTAGGGGCATTTTTCGTTTGTTGGTTCTCCAGCAATGCCTTGGCTACCTGAGATTTTACATACTTCTCCTTAGAGTGACCAAACACCTTATAATTAGGGAATTTTGTAGGTGTCCAGAGATATTCAACCCTAACCTCAACAACAACATCATCACACCTGATGAGAAAGTCAGAAGGAAGAGCAAAGTCCACACCAATTTCAACACAGATCTTTGCAAAAGAGACTCTGGAGCCTTGTGCAGTCAATTTGTCCATATACAGTAGCTCACTCACTACACTGGCAATACAAGTCAATCCTTCCTCATCCCAGTATTCCACTAGGACACTGAATAATTTGATCCAAATAGGAATCTTGTCCAGTTGCTCCTTTATAAGCTTCATCATATTATGCCACTTCTTTAAAACTAAGAAATGACCACCAAAAAACCAAGGGCCCTCCTCTAAAACAGCACTACTACTGTCCAAGTTATCAAACATGAAAAAGATGAAACCATTTGAGGTATATAGCACCTGCCTTAACCCCTTATTTTTCCACAGATTGAAAGCATAATTTTTGACATAATTAAAATTGAGATTCCTATTAAAAAAATGCCCCACTAAACAAGCCTCCCACCTTTCTACATTTTCTCTCCTAGGGAGGTCAACCACAATAGTAGAATCAAAAGAAGAATGGAGGAAATACCTAAGTTTGACAGATGACCTCTGATTCGATGCCACCACTGAAGCCCATGTCTTAACAGGAGCCGTATTGTCTACAGCTGAAACCACATTCAACTCAGGATTTAGGTTCACATAATTTTAGCCTCTGCCTCCCCTTCATCCACGACCACCTGACCTAGATCGACCTCCAATAGGTGTGTAAACCTTCGGTTCAGCCATACCACCATCAACTCCATGAGAATGGACGCTCCCAGCCATCGGAAGGGCATCAAGCTTCGATACCAGATTTCTCGCCCTAGCAAGAAAGAGGCTATCTGGGATATTCTTAAAGCGATCTAAAGCAGCTTCTTCACTCTCGTCCATTTCTACGATGTCTGACCATCGAGATTGCAGAAGATATAGGGCAAAAGTTATTGGGGTTGAAGGGGGTGGTAACTTGAAATCTCAATACGGCTTAGAAATTTTCAAATTAGTTCAAAGGGGCGGTAAATACGACTTAGATAATCCCTAGGTTGGTGTCTGCAAGTGGGCATAACTAGCACTACCAAAACCCCACTTCACCGATTGCTAACCGGAAGGAAAGTGGTTACCTCTTCCGCGCGTGTTTTTGGTCTTGCACCCCGGACACTCAAGCCGACTTAATCAATTTCATTTACACCTCCTATCCGGACTTGCCAACGTATTTACCCCAAAACAGTTCCACGAAAACTTATTTCGCAACATGCTTTCCTCAATGCAAAAGTTTTCAAATCCAATAATCAAAATTTACCATAACTAAATGAATTAAGATGAAAATGCAACAATCATCAATGCAATGCAATATCCCTTCCATTTACAATTCCATCCCATGATTCAACCATGAAAACCAATATCACCAATTTTCTCATTTCCAATGTGATTTCTCAAGATAACCATCCATCTTTTCAAATTCATCAAAAGTAACAATATTTTCACATTTCTCGTGTTCTCAACAAATTAGTCATTTCAAGACTAAAGCAACATATGAACAACAACTATCAATATCAACAACTTTTATATTTCATAAAACTCATCATCATATATGTGTATATATATATATAAGAAATTTCCTCATCCTTTACTCTTTTTGGCACACAAAATAGTATTTATACAATGTCAACCATGTATTCTCAAC